ACCTCCAAAACAACAGTTCTTACTTTCCTGCTTCTTTTCCCCTGCCCCAAAGGAGAGCACCCTCCCACCTCAAAGCCCCCACATCCTGCCCCCCACTGCAGGGAAGGAAGAGAAACTGGGGAACAGCCACTCACCTTCTTACGCTCCGTGGTCAGCACCGTGGCTTTGTCTTGAAGCTGGAAAACAAGAGAATGAACTCAGGCACTGAGACACTTGTCAGCAAAAAGACTGGCATCTGACAACCTGCACCATGCAGCGACAGGGTGCAACAGATGAGGCAGGGAGATGAAAAAGGAGCAACTACATGGGGGACAGGGATGGTGGACAAGAGAATTGCTCCTGTAGTGGAGCGAAGGGCGAATCTGGAACAGAGGGCTCCTTACCTTCTGGATGATCTCGGGGGTCATGCCCACCAGCTCTCCCAGATCCATTGGCTCGCCAGCACCCTGGATTGGGGAGAGAAGAAGCCCATGAGTACAGCAGGCATGACAGCACAGACAGGAGGCGCACGGAGAGAGCTACGCAGGAGGGACTCACCGTGATGTTGGGCTGGGAAGACGGCACAGCCTGGGGGACAATGAGGCCAGCCTGGGGTTTCAGAGTCGCCAACGCTGTGGAGACACAAGCAGCAGTTTGAAGGGTTGACATGGGTGCCAACTGCAGACTCACAGGAGTGGCGCAGAGATTTTGTTACCTCTTCCCTTGGGCGCTGACTCCTGCCTGCTCCACAAGCTGCACCCCTCCCCGCCGGCTCCCAGGGCACTAGAATTAGAATCCCCTCAGACTGTCCCCATGGTGCTGCAGCCTTATCCTCAATCAGTGCCATCTCCCCGACTTACCTTCTCTGGCAGCAGTGACCTCTTTGGTGAGACGGGCGATGACGCGGCAGGCAGCGTCGTGCTGGTACAGAGCGTGCGACAGCTCCTGGCGGGTGGTCTGCAGCTGCTGGCGGAGTGTGAAGCTGTGCAGCATGACGGCATCCTGGGGGAGGAGCCGCATGGTGAGGGAGCCCACCAGAACTCAATGCTCTGTCCACCCCAGCTCAGCAAGCTCTGCCTACCTGGGTAAGTAGAGTGGGGGACTCCTCCCACCCAACCTCTGCGAGCAAAAAAGGCAGCCCACCTCCCCAGCCAATCAGAAGAGAACCTGTTCTCTCCATTGCCCCAACACCCACCCCATCTCTCCCCACGAGGGCACTTACCCACTCATCCTGAAGGGCTTTCAGAATGGCCGGGATGCTGGTGGCTGAAGGTGGTTTGGGCCGGATCGGGTGGGCAACTGTGAATGGGGCACGTGGACCTGTTAGCCTCAGCAGTGAGGATTAATCTCCTTTCCTGTCTCTTGCCTCTCTACTTCTTCTCCACCCTCAAACACATCCATTCACCCATCCCTTTATCCAGATCCATCTGCACCCTTACTTGATCCTCTGCTTTAAGCCTACATGAGCCACTGGCGGAAGAGACCCATTAGACAATGAGGATGTTAATGTATCTCTGACGTGAGCATCCTGGATCCTACCATGCCAATCAGGCTAGTGGCTCAGCCAATGCAGGAGCCTGCCAACGACAAGGGTCAGCAGAGCCCCAAAATCCCCAAGATACATCTCTTGTGACAGTGTGAATTGCCCAGAGGAGAACAGAAATCCCCAAGCAGCTGACTCTACTTAACAAGTCCTCTCAGAGGCTGCTGGGAGTGGGAGGAATCTGGGCCTATACAAGCCAAACCCAGATCATTCCAACAAGAGAGAAGAGGAAAAGGCAGCATTCAAAAGGGCTGAAGGCAGAAAGGGGCCAGAGGAGAGCCAAAGTCTTTGGCGGATGAAAATATGAAGAGTTTGAGGCACCAAGTTGGCCTACTTCCCCAGGAATTTTTAGACTTTGCCTGAGAGGTAAGAGGACACTAGGGACATGCTAAAGATTTTGGATGTAGATGATTAAACTCAATACTGATTTGCCCCTTTTATAAGGATTCCTACATTTTCTTGGTGTCTTTTCTTCCCCAACACTTTTGCGGAAAAGCGTCCGTGCCAATCTAGACGCTCTTTTCCGCAAATGCTTTTAACAGAAAACTAGACGTAGCCTTTCTGTAATGATCATATCTTCCTGGCCCACCAGGCAATTGCTTGGTGAGCAGTGGAAGCTAAGGCTTAGTCAGAAGGCCAAGTGATGGTAGTGATGATCTACCCAACTTCCTACAGCTGGTGAGACTCGACCAGGTCACACCTCTAAATCTTCTCCCCACCGCTTGATACCTTTGATATCTATCAGCTGCTCTTCAGACAGTGGCTGGTTGTTCACTGGGTCAGTCCCATTTTCTGCAATGTACTTTTCAATCAATCTTCGCTCATAGACATGGTTTGAGACTGGCGATACACAAGGGTGCTCTGGCACCTCATTTGAGACTGCAAAAAATAAAAAGATTGCAGTGGTGACAAGTGGACAAACAAAAGAACCTAGGTCCTTACACAAACCCCTTGCTTACCAGAAGACAGAGAAGCTCCAAGACAAAGGTAACGGACACAGACCAATCTTTCCTACAGCCTCTACATGTATAGCACTGTTACCATGCCTTCCCTGTTTATATGTAAGCTATTGTCATCATCCTCGTTTATCTTTATTGATTCAAGCTTCTGTGCACCATCTTTCTGTCCAAGGTCTGTTTTCTAATAACGTAGTTAGTCCCTGAATGACACACACATGCCTTTCAACAAGTAGCTAGGTCTCCCTCCGGGCAGATCAGGCAGTTAATGATGAATCTAACCTAACTATGAATTCCATGGCTCTTCATCTGTGCTGTTATATGTAATCTCTAGCATAAGCTGCAAAAGCTTGACTTGCTTTATACATCACAAGCTGTCAGATGTGCACAGACCAGCAGTACCTACATTTGTACAGGGCAAAAAATGTGAGACACACTCAGAAGTGTAACTGTCACGGTTTATGTGCCTAAGGGGAAGGAGCTACCATGGAAAGCTCTCTGAGCTCGTTTCCACGGGAACTGGTAGGATCAGCAGCACTGAAAACCTTACATGCAGATTTTCATCCAGATATCTTAAGTCCCTCCCTCGCGCACCTTTATTTAGTTCTCAGCACCGTGGCAGAGCGGCTCAGGTGCCCAACTAAAAGGTGCAGGTTCAAGCTGCACTTGACTCCCCCCCCCCCCCCCCCCCCC